TGTACTATTTACTGTATAAACTGCTGACAATTTCGTCGTCGATACGGCTTCCACTATTGGCACACTCGTGATTTCGAAGAAATTAATAAATACATGCTCATTTATCATTTATTTAGACCACTGTTAGTTAAATTTTACACGTATTCGGTATTCCAAATCCCAATCTATCTGACCGTATTTTAGTAATAGCTTCAGATATTCAGAACATTGTTCTTTCAGTCGCACATATATACAAGTATTACTGTACATTGATTCAATGCCAATGGTAGTATTTTATTCGGCTTTATATTTGTATGTGTATTGATATCTATTTAATATTTGAAGAATTCTATATTTTTCCGAGTAATATATTGTGCGGCCCGCTAATGCTTTGTATTATTGTTCATATATACATTTATGGAAAGCCAGAACTGTCTTAAGTGGTGAAATGTTATTTTACGAGGTGCTTCTGTGAGGATGTTAAGTGCTTTTACCATTACATGCGGTGCCTTTACCATTACATGCGGTATTATTACCATCATATGGACTGCTTTTATCATTATGTGCGGTTATATCACCATTTAGTGCGGTGCTTTTACCGTTATACGCAGTTCGATGACCCTTTTGTGCAGTGTTTTTATCATTATATATGGTGCATTTACCGTAATATGCGGTGCTGTAGTCATTACTTGCTGTGCTATCAACGTTATACGCGGTGCTCTTTCATGAAATACTTTATTTTCGACTCTTGCTGTGCATTCATCATTTCACGAGGTGCAATTGTCATTTCACGAGGTGCAATTGTCATTTCATGAGGTGCAATTGTCATTTCGTGAGGTGCTTTTGCCGTTTCGTGAGGTGCAATTGTCATTTCATGAGGTGCAATTGCCGTTTCGTTAGGTGCAATTGTCATTTCGTGAGGTGCAATTGCCGTTTGGTGAGGTGCAATTGTCATTTCGTGAGGTGCTTTTGCCGTTTCGTGAGGTGCAATTGTCATTTCATGAGGTGCAATTGCCGTTTCGTTAGGTGCAATTGCCGTTTCGTGAGGTGCAATTGTCATTTCGTGAGGTGCTTTTGCTGGCTCATGTCAAATCAGCGGCTTATGTATAAAATATATGAATAATAAATTTTGGAATAAAAATTTGGGAATATAATTATGCAAATTATAATTTGGCGCCAAGAAAATCTTCGATTACAACAGGATTATAATCAATTACAAATTGAAGATGGACGATGTTTTAAGGAAATTGAGTCTTGAACATTTAATTAACAATTTCAACGAACAAAAAATCTCGCCTGACATTGTGTGCAAATTATCATTGCAAGAATTGGAAAAGCTGGGAATTACCAACAAACAGAATGTAATGTCTCTCAGAATTGCGTGCTCAACGTTCAGCAAAGGAAAACCAATAAAGCTGAATTCAGTCTGTGGTGCTCCAAAATTCTTCATACCAAAAGGGGTGCTGGAATCATGGTTGGATGAAGATTTTACTATTGCTGAAATATCAAGTCTTTTGGGCGTTTCTGAAAGCACTGTTTATCGAAGAATGCGTGAGTATGAATTGACATCTCTGACCAAGATCTTGATGATAAAGTAAGCATTATAAGTTCACATAGTATAGTGGGCGGGGCCACCAAGAGAATTTGAGGGGCCCGGGGTGAATCTTCTCTGGGGGCCCCATGACACCATTACTACTTTAACATAGACCCAATTCAGTCACCCAACTTGACCTTATCTAGACTGCATGTGGAGCTACTGTTTGGGGGCCCTCGATTTCAAAAATGCTCTTACCAATTTAAGGAACCACTCAATTTTAGGCTGTCATCCTGAAGTTTGGGCCCAACCAAGGTGGGGGTCCGGCTAAATCCCCCCCACCTTCTCGGTGACCCC